TGCTTCCAAGTTTTAACAATTATGAATGAAGCTGCTATAAGCATCCATGTGCAGGTTTTTTGTGTGGACATAGGTCAACTTCTATGGGTAAATACCAGGGAGCACATTTCTTGGATTCTATGGTAAGAATAGGTTTACTTTAAAAAAAAAAAAAAAAAAAGACCAAACTGTCTTTTAAATTGTCTGTACTATTTTGCATTCCCATCAGTAATGAATGACAGCCCTTGTTGCTCCACATCCTCACCAGCATTTGGTTTTGTCAGTTTTGGACATTAGTCATTCTAATCAATACGTGGTAGCGTATCGTTGTTGTTTTAATTTGCAATTCCCTGAAGACATATGAGGTTGCACATCTTTTCATATGCTTATTTGCCATCTGTATGTCTTCTTTTGGTAAGGTGTGTTAGATCTGGTGCCCATTTTTTAGTTGTATTGTTTGTTTTCTGGTGGTTGAGTTTTAAGAGCTTTTTATGTATTTTGTATACCAGTCTTTTAGTCTTTTATCAACTGTGTGTTTTGCAGTTTTTTTTCTCTTAATCTGTGTCTTGTCTTTTCATGCTCTTAACATTGTCTTGCAGAGCTCAAGGTTTCATTTTGAATAATTTTTTTTCTTTCTTGGATCATGGTTTTGATGTTTATCTAAAATGTCACCCACCAAACCCAAGATCACTTAGATTTTATCCTATCTTCTAGGGGTTTAATAGTTTTGCATTTCACATCTAGATCTATGACCCATTTTCAGTTAACTTTTGTGGAAGGTATAAGTTCTGTATCTAGATTCTTTTTTTAATGTGTGGATGTCTAGTTGTGCCAGCACTGTTTGTTGCAAAGACTCCTTTCTTCATTGAATTGCCTTTGCTCCCTTGTCAAAGATCAGTTGATAGTATTTATGTGGGTCCATTTCTGGGCTCTCTATTCGTACCATTGATCGGTTAGTCTGTTCTTTAACCGGTACCATACTGTGTTGATTACTTTCTTGAAGTCACATCATGTCAGTCCTCTGACCTTTTTTTTCTCCTTCAATATTGTTCTGGCCGTTCTGGGTTATTTGCCTTTCCATATAAACTTCAGAGTGAGTTTGTTGATATACACAAAATAACAAACTTTTTTATTATTGGGGGGTAGGCTTGCTTTCTAAACTAAAAATTTTGTGTTTGCTTTTTAAAATCACCAATATTTTTTACTTTTGTTCTTGTTCCAAAGCCGTTTACCTTCTACTTTTTCTTTTGTAGGTGGTCTTCAAAATTTTTACTGTTAGCCAATATGGTGTATAAATAATAATTATTGTAATAGTAAGCAATTATACATTATGTAAAAATTTGTTATATAAATCTATATATAAATGTCTACATATAATATGTGTGTATCTATGTAAGTTTGTGGCTATGAAGAAGTAGCCCACAGGTTTTTTTAAAATCCCTGCAGACCTCTTCTTGGGTGTGAGGAAGCTAGAGGCAGCTTCCACAGACTTCATCGTGGTTATTTTAGACCACAGCTACCTGTAAGGAATGAAATACCCCAATTGTTGAGAACTAGTGTGTATTTTGAGGGCCTTTATATTCAGAATGTGGTGTGTAAAAACATAATGGAGTCAGAAAGAAGCTGAGAACTCCTGCTGTAATGAACCCAAACACACCTAATTGTAACAGTTATACATTATGTCTCTTCTCACTGTCTCTTCTTTTTGATTGAATTTAAATTTATTTTGTAATGGTTTAGGAGTCTCATCAGCATGAAAAAGACAATTGTTTTACTAAATACAGTGCTATGGAGAAAGTTAGCCATCCAAAAATACTGATATTTAGTTTTTATTTGAGCTTTAAGAGACAGAGTAGGAATGCTAGCTTTTAGATTCCCAAATTATAATTATTTAGGTCTTGCTTTATTCTTATTGTTAGCAGTTAGAGATTAGTAGATTTATATTCCAAGCATATTTAATACAACATTGGGCTTTTCCAGTTTGTAATTCAATGCTTGAATTGCAGTCTTAAGAATTCTATTAACAATTATGTTTTTGTTCTCTCATAGGCTTACATAAATCTTTCAAAATTTTGGAATAGCATGTAGAGAAATATTACAACTTAGCATTATAAGATAGTTAATACAAGCAGTCAGATAACATCAAGTTAATCTAGTTATATGGAAGCTAGCCTTTCTTGTCCTGCTTAGAGTGATCATCCCTATTTCTCTCCTATCAGCAGAAAATGTAAAGAATTCACATATCTTTACCAAGACTGAACATTATGATGAAATATAAAGTTGAGGGGGACAACTTTGATGAATGAAAAATGTTACTTGATTTTTATTTGTTTTTAGAATATTAACGAGATTAAATATTATTGGTCTCTTCCATTTTATCATTTGTAACTTGTTTGTTCATTCATGTCCTTGTCTTGTTTTCAGTTTGGGGATGTGGGTCTTTTTCTAGTCGATTTCATCACAGCTTTGTATGTAGAGGTAAAAGTGATTACCTCTGTGTTTATTATATACCACGCATATTTTTTCCTGTCATCTAATTTTGCTTTGGTTTTATATACACACTCTTACGATCTTTATGCAGTTAATACTGTATTTTGAACACTTTCCTGTGACATTTGGTGTTTTTTGATAATGTAATTTCAAATGTCTATTTAGCATTCTGCTTATTAGATTATAACAATAATTATTTTGAATGAAATACAATTTGAAATTTATTTTGAAATTTCAATCAGTATATCCGTTCATTGTTACTTTTTTATATTAATAAATCCAATAACCATTTATTAAACACCCACTAAAAAATACAATTTAAATAAATTATTTAATCAGAAACATTTGTGTTTTTCATAAAATTTTTAATTCTCAAATGAAATATTTTTATCTTGACAGAGAACTTAGAAGTAAATGTTTGCCTAAAATTCCTGGCTTTACTGGCAAATTTTCAATGTATGCAATTATGATACCTGGGAATATTTGGTTATGCTTTATTAAGAAAAATATTTAAAGGATAGAATGTCATTTTAAAAGTTTTTACTTCATTAAAATTTAGAATTAAAGTACCTAGGTCAGTTTTAAGGATCTTGTTTAGTTACATTTGCTATAAAGTTAAAGCAAGAGAAACTTTGTAACTGTTATGACCTTATGAATCTTAACTAAAGGAAAAGATATAGTTTGTATCCACTACCCTAAGTTAAATTGTAGTACTTTTAATGATCCAAAATAATTTTTTTTAAAATTTGAGAGCTCTTCTTTTTTCCACAATGACACTTGTTAACAGATTCCCTCTTTGATAATACGCAACGTTGGATCATGAAACAGAGTAAACAAACAGGTCATTGTTTAAAATAACGTTCACTATGTTGAAAGGACTGTTGAGTTTTTGTTTTGAGTTGTTTTATTATATAATTTAAGTTCTCGAATACAGTGCATAATGTACTTTAACTTGATATGATACAAAGATATTTATTTTAGATCTAATATTAGCAGTTTGTGATATTCTTTAGATTACTTTTACAGACTTGTATATTTTGACCTATGCATGGTAGAGTGTTTTTTAATTTGACAAAACAATTTTTATAAGTTTTGAATTTATGTATTTAGAACAAATTTATTATCCTGTAGTTATATACACATAGACACAAACACAGGAAATCAGTGTTTAAGTAATTGTGTTCTGCTTCCTCTTTCAAGGAGGGGGTTCAAGGGCAGTCCCTGGAGTTCAGGTTGAGGTAGAGAAGCACAAACTTACAGATTCTCCATGAATATTCTAAGCTAAAAAGGGCAACATAAGCTGAAGTTAGAGGATATGGGATCGACATAATGCATCTGACTGGAAGATGGATGTGACTGGAAAACTGTAGAAAGCCAGTTAGGCTGCCCAGGCAGTTAAGAAAACAGAGCAGGTCAAGCTGCACAGCATGCAATGGTGTGTCTTCTTTTGGGGCCAAGCCTGGTGCAGCTTACTATTTGTCAGCACCGTGTCATCTCCATCTGAGTAAATGGCACCACTGTCCTTTGAGTGATTCAAGTAAAAATGCTGTGAGTCATTGTTAATTCCTTCTCTCACCTTGCTAATTAATCCACTAACATATGACAAGTCTCAGATGTTTTTCTTTCTTTCCTGTGCCATTGCCATCCTCTTAGCCCAAGCTGCGATCATTGCACCCAGATTTCTGTAATGGCTTCCTTGAGTCTACATTTTCCCTCTTTGAATCCACTCTCCAGAGGTGCCAGAGAAATTTGTATAAAGAGAAAGCCTGATCCTGTCCCTCTCCATATTAATGCTTTCCACCGAATTTTAATTGCATTTAGAATAAAATCTGATTTCCTTACAAAGGTCCCTAAAGGTCTTCTGCGACTTGCTCACTGACTAGTGATTCTGACCTTAGTTTATATCACTTTCCACCTCTGCCTCTTCCCTCGGGCCCCAGCCACACTGGTCTTTCTGTTTTTCGGGGTGCACAGTCAGTCTTGTGTTTTCTGTTCTTGGTGCTTTGTCTTGCTCACTCCTTTTAAAAATAATTTAGGCCTGAGTTTAAACGTAGCTTCTTCAGTGAGGTCTTCACTGAGCATATTTTCCAAAGTAGTGTTGTCTTTCAGTTCCCCAATCCCATTCCTGTTTCATTTATTCACATCTGTTTTATTTCCTTTATTGCATTTGACTATCTGATTAGACCATTCATTCATTTAGTAAATACTGTGCACCTAATATATGCTAAGCATTGTTCTAGATACTTGGGATTTACCACGAACAACAACAAAAACCAAAAGAGAATCCCTAGTCTTACAGAATTCACGTTGAGGTAGGATGGAGAGAGAAGCAGTACATAATGTACATGATATGTAATTAAATTGTAAATATGTTAGAATGTGGCAAGTGAAATAGACAAAATGGATTATGGTAAAAGTGATTGGAAGAACTGGATGGGGGCAAGGGCAGGTTACAACTTAAATAGGGTAGTTATGGTAGACCTCTTGAGTTGATTATTAAAGTAGAGTTCTTTTGTTTCTTTTACTTTCAGCTTCAGCACCAGTCAGCAAAGTGAATAAGTACTGTGCTTCTTCCAACTTTCATTCCACTTGGGGAAAAAATAATATCATCATGTCAAACATTACGATTGACCCAGATGTCAAACCTGGTGAATATGTCATCAAGAGCCTCTTTGCAGAATTTGCTGTTCAAGCTGAAAAGAAAATTGAAGTTGTAATGGCCGAACCCTTGGTGAGTAGAGCTGACTTATAAATCTGAAATATTTTCTTGACTTTTGTATTAACCACTATAATACAGATTTTTCAAAGGAAATAATATACTTGAAAAAAATATTAAGGGATAGTGGTGATGTAGAAAGCCACACTGACTTTAGAATCTACTTTGATAAGTGACTACAGGTCACAAAAGAACAAAAAGGACCTTCAACAATGGGAATTGTGGAAACAGATGAAACAGAAAATAAGGGAAAATTAGAATATGGTATGAGTTAACACTAAGATCACAGCCAAACTTATAAACAAGAGAACATGTTTTTACATGTATATTGCATGAGACATACTTGGACAATGTGAGAAGCTCTATTTGATTAGAGCCCACGATGAGGAGGATGGAAGAGATTTGAGTCAGTTTCTGAAATGTTGTAAATGCTTTTGTGATAGATAATACGGTGGTTGAACAACAGAAGGAGAAGACATTGAGAGCAGAGATGCTTTAGCTATTGTACATAGTTTGGGGGTCTTGAATTATGGTATTAAAAGTGGAAATGATTGCAGAAGAAAGTAAGAGAAATAACAGAAGTAAAATCAATAGAATCTGACAAGTAATTAAGGGGATTTTGAATGAAAGTTAAGGGTTAGAGATGCTCTGGAGTGTTAGTAAAGATAATAATATATTTACTTTGGTAAAGTACACTGGAATATCTTTGGGTAGAAAAGGTAGATAAAATAAGTTTTCATTTGTGTATCTTAAGCTTGAGATAACGGTGATCTCACCATATGGAATTAGTTGCTTGACTGGTAGTTGGAAATTCTTTTTGAGATCTCAAGAGATGGTAACTAGAATTACAGATTTTGGTATCATCTATATGAGGGTGAAAATTGAAGCCAAAAGAGCAGATGATGATTTCAAGGGAAAGAAAATATAGAATTATTATTGCTAATAATATAGAGCAAGGGAGTACAATGAACATTGAGAAAAGTGGTTATTGGATTTGGAAATGAAGCAGAAATAGAACAGAACAGTTTTACCTTCTTGATGTAACTACAGGAAGTAACACTGACTCTCTGCCACCTTAAAGAGGTGGCAGTTTAGGCTACTCTTTGGGTTGGAAGCAAATGGGTATGTGATGTACTTAGATCACAGTGTAGGTTAGATGTGGGATGATGGTAATGGAGAAGAAGGTGAAGGATGTAACAGCTGAAACTCACTTATTCCTTACACAACTGAATTAGGGGTAGTTATTCACCACCAATTTGAGACTCAGAGGGTTTGCTACTTGTCTCAGGCCCAAAGCTAGTAAGTGGGACACTGAGGAGTTAGGCACAGTAATATATTGGCTTTAGAACCTGTATGCTTACTCAGCCTGTTATAGTTCCTTAGAAGGAAGAGAGAGAGGAGAACAACAGAAGGGAGGATAGGGCAGGAGGAAAGTTGAAGGAAGTATTGTTAATGCTGTTTATTTTCTTAGTGAAGCAGCCTTGAAATTGCTGTGAAGGTGAGTTTCTTTGCAATGATTAAGTAGAGAAAACTACTCAAGGAAAGCATCTATGAAATAATGTGTTCTGGGATCTAATACATAATAATGGCCAAACGTGTATTTCAAAACTGTGCAGATGTTTATATTCAATTTAAATCATCACATGATTGCTTTCCATCTCAAATTATTTTTATGCTAGTGTGTGTATATATATATATATGTTTGTGCATATGTAGAGAGACAGCATATAGAGTAATATAAAGTTGTGTTTTAGAAGTAAGGATTACAAAAGCCTGTAGCATGAGTTCATGATTATAAGATTTGATTATAAATATGCTTCAGCTACAAAATGTTAGTTTTCTTTTTTCAGTGGTCTCTGAATTACATGATAAATTACTACGCTAGTCTACTTAAACAACATACAGTAAGAAAGAGAACAACTTTTTTAAAAATTTAAGAATTTATTATGGAAAATGTCAAACATATATAAAACTTAAGATTATAGTATAATGAACACATAATGAATACTTAGGACCCATCACCTGGCCACAGCAGTTTTCAAGTCACACAGCACATTTTAAAAACACTTTATTTTAGAAAATGTTTTATAGTAGTGCTATGTGATACAGTCCTACCAGTTCTCAAATATTATATATTTGAGACTATACACACACACACACACACACACACACTCTCTCTCTCTCTCTCTCTCTCTCTCTCTCTCTCTCTCTCTCTCTCCTTCTCTCTCTCTCTCATTTATTTATTATTTAATTTATTGGAGAGACAGGGTCTTGCTGGGTCACCAGCAAGTTCAGTGGCACAGTCTTGGCTCACTGCAACCTTCCCCTCCAGTCTCAGGCAATCCTCCCACCCCAGTCTCCCAAGTAGCTGGGACTACAGGCATGCGCCACCACACCTGGCTAATTTGTGTGTTTTTGTATAGATGAGACCCAAGCTGGTGTCAAACTCCTGGGCTCAAGTGATCCACCTGCCTTGGTCTCCCAAAGTGCTGGGATTACAGACATGAGCCACTGCTTCTCGCCATATTATATATTCTTATTCCAGACTTCCCATATATTCCCTCTAACTTGGGCATCCTCCCCTAAGCTAAATGAATATGTATTTTACTATAATAATTTGTACATAATTCTAGATTATGATATACCATGTTATGGTTAATTGCTTACATGTTTATCTTCTCTGATGTGAGTTAACTTGATACCAGGAACCAGGTCTCTCTCATCTCTTTCTGCAGTACTGCTTGTTATGGTGGGTACTTAGAAGGTTTTGGTAAATGTTTGTAGTTGAATGAATGTAGCCTTAAGAAGTATTGCTGTGGTGTGTGCCTTTTGTTCTTCTAATAGAACATGATATCTTCATTCTAGCCAGAGCTTCTGATAATTCTTTCAGAATAGTCTGATGCCGAGTATATTTTATTCATTTATTTAATAATTAACTTTAGAGACATCTGCTATGTAATCTGAGATTATAAAATTATAATTAATAGTGGTGGGGATTTCATCAGATCATCGATGTTTCTACTCTGCTATCACAAATAGAAGAGGCATCACTGCTTACTCTTCCTGACATACCAGGAAAACCCCCAAATCACCATCACATTTTACAGATTTTACCCCTTACACGCCTATATACCAAGATAATTTCTTCTTATCTAGAGCAGAATGCCAGCTTTGTTTTTATTTATGTCCAGGTCTGGGTAAATTGGAAATCCATAGCTTCAAGATTGGATAATGAAAATACATTTAATCTAATATTGTCACAACGTTTACAATATAGCTTCAAATTCTTTTATTGGAATTTCATTTATTTTGAAATTTATTCTATACCCTTTTAGGTAATAAACAACCATCTAAGATGACTCTCTGGGTTCTTGAATGAAAGTCTTGCAGAGTCACTTTAAAGAAAATAGCATCTAGGACTTGTCAGATACAAGGAGGCTGGCCTGGCTCATGGTCAGTCAGATAGTAGGATTCAAAAAAGCACAAATGTGAATGGCTTTTGCTGAAATAATTTAATCTACCACTAAAATGAGAGAATTGACTTTTTCATTCTCATATTAGAAATCGTAATAAAAGAAGATTAAGGAGGCCAAAAGACTCAAAGATTAGCTGAGCTGGATTTTTAGCCACAATTTCATTTTCATTTTAGGAGGAAGATTCAAGAAGGGCAATCAGTGATTGAAATGGCAACTTGCAGGCTATGCAATCCAATACCTTAGGTCCTTTCTTCCTAAAAGGAGATGGATCAATCCTCGGTAATAACCTAGGCATATCCAAGTTTATCTGTTAATCTTTTAGATTGCTGGGGACTAGAAAAGAAGACAGAAAAAAAGCCATTTACCCATCTTTTGCTGATTTAGATCTTATGTTTTGATTTAGGCTCAGCATTTTAAAAACTCTAAAATTCCCACTATTTTTTTTTTTTAGAATATAAATATATATGGGGATGTGTGTGTGTGTGTGTCTGTGTGTGTGTATGTGTGTGTATTTTAAAGGTTTTCTTCTCCCTGTATGGTCAGTTTCTTCCAAACTGCATTTTTCTGCTGGTTTTACCTTCTTCTCATATGTTTATGTTAACTTGCTATATTTTAAGAATGAAATACAGTTGATTGGAAGTCCAGTGTACACAGAAGAGCCCTTTTGACTATGATCTTCTGTGTATTACTATGAATGGACCATCAGTGTCGGATCTTTTTTGGGGGGCTTGCCAGAGTCCCCAAAGAGGGTTTCTGCAGTACTCTGGGAGAGTTTAGGCTTTAGCTGCAAGCATTCTGGGGAATGAGAGTCAGAAGATAACTGGGGTTTTTGATATTTGGTGTATATATTCTTGCTTAACCTCCCTGTCTTCAGTATGTTACCTCTTTGGATCCCCCAGTCAACATTATTGTATTTTGCCCTTTTCTAAGCAAGGCAATTCCTCTAAAGGTATGGTGAAGGGGAGGGTCTAAATCTTTATTAAACCTTTTAAAACCAATCTTTCAACCAGCCATCTTATTTTTATCCTCACCTTTAGCCATACTTTCAGAGTACCCAAGTTCTCCAATTCCTGAGCCTTGGGGGAAGTTCTAAAGCATCAGTTGGGTTATCCTTCCTTTACTGTCTGTGGGACAAGCTCACTCACCTCCCTCTGGTTGTGCCTCAAGTGTCATCTTCTCTATGATCATGTTATCTGAAATTTCAGTCCCTATTCCAACTTCCTATCCTAAATCTATCTGACATAGTGTACACTTCCTTTGCTCTCTCATTGGACTGTCAGCTCTACAAGGGCATGAGTTGGTTTCCATTTTGTTCATGGCTTTGTCTCCAGAACCTAGAACAGATAAGTGTCTGGCATACTGTGAACCCAGTAAATAATTTGGATGAATGAGTGAATGACTGAATGAATGAACAGACTGCTCACTTTTCTATTTGCATACTTAGGAGTCACCCTTATTTGGTGAGATAGTTATATTCTTCATCTGCTTTTTACCTCCTCTCCTATTGTCTTTGTTCTTTTGGTTTTAGCCCTTATAGAA